AGTAAAAAATACCACATTCTTATTATATAACTGACTTACAATGGTAAAATAATACATTCTATAACTATCTGACTTACAACAGTAAATAATACATTCTATAATATTTCACTTACAATGATAGCATAATATATTCTATAGCTATTTTACTTACAATGGTAAAATAATACATTTTATAACTATCTGATTTACAATGGTAAATAATACCTTCTATAATATTTCACTTACAATGATAGCATAATACATTCTATAGCTATTTTACTTACAATGGTAAAATAATACATTCTATAACTATCTGACTTAATACGTTAGCAGAAACTATGTCTCATTCCATGTTGAGAGTGTATGCAAAATGAAAAAATGTGGATAAAAAGGGAAAGGCTTACTTGTTTTTTCTCCTCCGTTTGGTTAATTTTTTCTGCATCAGGAATTGCGAAATCTGTGTTTTCTTTTGTTCTTTTTTTGTGGTTTCTTTTCATATTGTTCTTTTTTTTTAAATGATGTGGTGAATAAGATGCTTTCTTTTTTTTTGTACATTGTTGGACACTAAACAATGTGGTAAATAGGAAGGTCTTTAGACATCAGTTATCACCAAAATGATGTGCAGAATAGTATATTTTTTAACATTGGTCACCAAAATGAATGATGTAGTTGGTTTTTATACACATTTGGAGTCAACAAATGATGTGGATGAACAGAGTGTTTTTGTAATGCATGTTGGCAGTTGCCAAAATGTTGTGGGGTCATAGTAGCAGAAACTAGCCCTGTGTTCACAGAGATAAAATCATACTTGACAGAAAATAAAACATACAGAAATAACAGGAAAAGCATGGTAAATGGTATGATAATTTCATACAATTTATTTATATTTTTCTTGTGTGTATTTTTTCAGTTACAATTATTTTATGATACATGTGATAAAAGGGAGAAGTCACTGTATCATTACACAACATATCACAGAGAGAAGTTGGACATGTGTTGCCCATACCAAGGTTCATGGCAAAGAGGTTGAATTTAATGTCTTTTAGCAGGATGTCCATATTTCCAGCAGGAACAGTTTTTGTTGCATGCTGGGAGTATTTTTATTATTTTTAATTTTCATTAATTTATTTTATACAATGTTTTTATGGAATTGTTTTAGTTTATTTTATTTGTAATTTTCATTATTATTATTTTATATTTTATTTTTATTTATTTATAATAATGTCCCTACAATATAACTATTTAACATCCAAAAGCAAAAATAATTTTCATTATATAACTAATCTCAAGATTCTTGACAAAATCCAAAAAAGAATCTGCAATGTAATTGATCCTGACCTGGCATCTCAATTTTGGTCACTTTCTCACTGATGTGACATGGTTTCCCTCTGTCTTTTCTACAAATATTTTCATGTTAACTGCTCTGACAAGCTTTTTTCCCTGTTTAAGCATACTGCTAGATTGGCATCTAGGTCCCACCCATTTATTGTTGAATTAGGTAAATGTAACTGTCACTTCTACTCTAACAGTTTCTTTTCTCGCACTTCCCACCTGTGGAACTCTCTTCAATTTCCTTGCTTCTCTGATAACTACAATCTTCAAAAATTTAACTGCAATGTCAATCCCCATCTTCTATCTTCTTGAACCCCATTCAGCTTTTATCCTTTCTCAGTCCTCTCTATACTGAGTCTTTTCTCTCTCCTTCAGTCTCTATAACATACTAGTAGCATTCCCACCTTGCTTGGGGTGAAATGATTAAAAAAAAAATAAAAAATAACTATTTGATTTCCAATGATAAAATATCACATTCTTATTATATAACTATTTAATTTACTGTGTTAAAGATAACATTTTCATTATATAACTATTTGATTTACAATAGTAAAATACCATATTCTTACAATAAAACTGATTTTCAATGGTATAAAATCTTATGATGTAATCTTTTGACTTACAATAGTAAATATAACATTCTAATTATATATTTCATTTACAAAAGTATAATAATTTATTTATTATTATATAAGTTTTTTATTTACAATGGTAAAAATAACATATTAGTATTAAATAACTATTTGATTTGCAATGTTAACAATAATACATAATTATAAAACTGTTATTTTTTACAATGGTAGAAATATCACATTATCATTATTTAACTATTTCATTTAAAATGGCAAAAATAGCAATAGTAAAAATATTACATTTTATGATATTTACAATGGTAAAAATATTACATTTTATGATACAATCTTTTGACTTCCACTGGTAAAAATAACATTCTTTCATTCTATTCCATTTATAAAGGTATAATTTATTTATAATCAAGTAAGTCTTTGACTTACATTGGTAAAAATAACATATTATTATTAAATAAATATTTGATTTGCAATGCTAAAAATAACACATTGTTATTATTATGCCATTTTGATAAAGATAGAAATATATTGTTATGTTAATAAGTTGAAAGCATAGATGAAAACTTATTTAGCATGAACTATTAATTTTATTAAAGCTTTATCCAAAATTATCTGGTAAAATATTACATGTTTAAGAGAGATAACCTTTAACATTGAATTTGGCGCTGAATTGTGATACTCTAAGCACATTCTATCTAGAATATTTTAATTTTTATGAGTAATGCTTACACTAAAAAAAACAGATGCAGAAATGTATGATGCAGTTGCATTAAATCAGGAATAATGTTAGACGCACAGGAAGAGATTTCAGTCAAGTCCGTCCCCAAAACAGGCAGAATACAGTATACAGATCTTATGATTGATCAGGCTTTTCGTTTTATTGCAATGTTTGTTGCCAGGAGGCACCTGATCATGAATATTCATGAAGAGCATATCAGAATCTGCATAACAGGTTGCAAAGCCTAGGATCTTTTGTAGGATCTTGGAATTTCATCTCTGTCTGCAACTGTTTATATTTGATGCCATTGCAGAGCAACATTTCTTTAAGTCTTCGATGATTTCTATTGTAACTTGATGGATTTTTTCCTCCTTTCTCTCTTTATTTGTTCTCTCTTTACCTCTTTTTTTTTCTTGATTTCTCTGTATTTTCTTTATTTTTTTCTTTCTTTTCACTCTTTCTCTTCACTCTCTCTTCTCTTTTTTCTCTCTACTCTTTCTTGTTTTCTACTCTCTTTGCTGTGTCTCGCTTTCTGTCTCCCTTCTTTTTTGCATGCTTTCTTCTTCTTTGCTCTGTCTTTGTCTGTCTGTCTGTCTGTCTGACTGACTCTCTCTCTCTCTCTCTCTCTCTCTCTCTCTCTCTCTCTCTCTCTCTCATTCTTTATCACTGTTACTTTTTAATCTTTTATTTTATTTCCTGTTCGGATTTAATCAAATAATCCCTATGTAAACATTTCAAGACTTCAGAATTAAGATAGAATAAGAAAAGAGAAGTTATCTTAACTTTCTCACTATCTTGATTTTATTATTATTATTATTATTATTATTATTATTATTATTATTATTATTATTATTATGAGGTTGTTAATGCCATTGTTATTTTAATTTATTCCTGTCAAAATTTGATATCCTTTTCTAAGATATAACTATATTGTGAAATACTGTAATCCTTGGCACATTTTTTTGTATGTGTATGCACACACACACACACACACACACACACACATAGATAGATAGATAGATAGATAGATAGATAGATAGATAGATAGATAGATAGATAATATAGATAATATATATATATATATATATATATATATATATATATATATATATATATATATATATATATATACATAAATTTCAAGAGGATAGATTCAGGTAGAACTCAATGTCCAGGACAGAGTAAGAATATAATATAAAAAAGGCTCAAACACTAATATTCCATGGTTATAATTTATTACATTGGAATCATAATCACAATCAATTTATGAACTGGATTGTGATTACGATTCCAATTCATCATTACATTATATATATATATATATATATATATATATATATATATATATATTTCTTCACTGGTAGCATGACTGAGTTTTATGCATAACACAATCTTCAGGTGCTGAGTTAAAACTGAGCATTACATAATTTAAATCTTGTTAAATATCATTGAGCACTATTTTGTTAACACCAGCACTCAATGTGTAATATATATATATATATATATATATATATATATATATATATATATATATATATATATATATATATATATTAAAAATATAGCTTTAAGGTATACTATATTTATGGGTTAAAGTGATCAATATCAGATATAGAGCCTATGTGAATATAAAAGTGGACTTCACTGTCCACTTTTAAAAAAGATAGTAAATTTTTTTTTATACTCACTGTTTTAGTTGTGCACATAATTTTTATCCTCAAAAAAACAAGAAGTGATGACCCAGTTAACCTTTTTTTGATATATATTTTCTTATCTACCACTTGACAGTAAGTAATTTTTTTTCTTATTCTTGCTCTTTCTCCTCTTTGATATTTTTGTTTATATATATATATACATTTTAGATGTACATTTTTAAAGCTTTAAGATATATATGTATGTGTGTATGTATGTATGTATGTATATATATATATATATATTACTTACTCACTTTTGTATTGTAATTGTATTGTATATCCTTCATATTTTACCTGATTTTCAGCTAACCGGATGAATATTTCTGAGTGTGCCTAAACTTAAAAATTTTGAATACATCAATAACATTTTTGTTCTTGCATATAAATACTTGTTACAAAATAAAATCCTTGCATTTGCCTTGATAAAGTCCCTCAGAGGACAAGACGCATTGATTAAGATTAGTTTTCCTTTTGTCTTTATTCATATATATATATATATATATATATATATATATATATATATATATATATATATATATACATATATGCCCCCACTGTTAGGGAGTGAAAAAATATTCTAGAATTCTTGAATTGAATTCACCCATTTCAAGACTAGTATATTTGTATGGAAGAGGTTGATCAAAAGGAATTCTCGGATATGCAAGCCGATGCCATAGAGTTTGTATTAAAATGAATTCTCTCTCCTGGTCAAGACCAACACCCCACCACCTCAAATTGGGGGTGCAGCTGAGGCCTTCTTCCCTTTCTTCTTTTTTTCAGGGTTTGTAGGTTCTACATTTTACATTTTTTTTTTTTTTAAATAAAGAAAAAGGGAAATACCCACTCATTGTAACTGTGTCCTCATAATCCCTAGTCAGTTTCACACAAAAAAAAACTTCATTAAATGCTATAATCCCAATCAATTACGTTAATAAACACATCATCAGTATGGATCTATATATATATATATATATATATATATATATATATATATATATATATATATAGATAGATAAACCTAGTAGCCAGACAAACCTACCCAGGTTTCACCTAAGCGGATCATCAAGGAAAGCCTTCCCTGACGATCAGCTTAGGTGAAACATGGGTAGGTTTGTCTGGCTCACTAGGTTTATCTAGTTCTGCTCTACAGTTGTATTGAGCTCTTTTTAGTTAGTTGTTTACTCATGTCGGGGTTTTTCTTTGGGCTTTAAACCTGTATCTGTGCAATTTTTTTCGACAGACTTTCATGTTTCTAGCTCTTTCTTTTTTTAAAACCTTTTTTTCCTTCGAGATTGATTTGATTATTGACAAATCAAAAATTCAAAGGTTTTTCGAGATGAGTATAGTTACCTATATATATATATATAAATTTTTTTTTTTTAAGCTTTTCACCCCAAGCAAGTCGGAAAGCCACTAGGGCGCAAGGGGTTACAGAAAATTTGGAGCAAGATCAGATAGGAGTGATACAAGAAAGGATGAGGAGAAGAGTAGTGGATAGATCAAGGCAACTGGAGATACAGAGGCCAGTGTGAGAGAGAGAGAGTGCCTTGAACCCCTTCCTAAACAAGAAACAAGGTGTAAGCCTCTACTCATGTCCAAGAGAAGGGGGAGGAGTGTTGACCGGGCGGTAGGAAAGCCTACCTACTCCTATTATATATATATCCCAACCATGAGGAATACTATTGATGCTCCATTGCAATTTACCAATATTTTCTTATCCCTGAAGCAAGTAAATGCTTATAGACTCAAATATAAACAACCAATATTTACAAAGAAAATGGTTAGAGACTCAAATATAATTTTAAAAAGAAATGATTTCAAAATTAAACAACCCAACCAGAGATATAACTTAAAATCAGTTAACCTAACTCAACTACATTAAAGAATAGTTTAAAAAAATAAGAAAAAGAAAATTCAGGTACTGACGTAAGAAATTACTTTTTCAGTAAATGTGTTTTGTTTCTCTGGACTCAGACTAACAACTACAGTAATTTAAATTTCATGGACACTAAGAAAACGGGTCTTTCAAGTATTGTTGGATATTTTATGTTTGAACTGGTTTCAGCATTAATGGACAAACAGTTGCTTTTTGGAAAATGTCCATTTGATCTCTCAAAGGATCTGAAGCCACAATTAACTATTTTAAAAAAATGTCTATCTTTATCTGATTATGTCCCCACTAATTATGTCTATGTATTGGTTGGAATGCTTCCTGTAATACAAACTTTGGACTGATTTCAATTCTCTCAACTGTTGAGTGAGGCATCATGGGTATTATAGGTAATCTAAAATTGTTTTTATAGCTCTTTTAATGCTATTTTTATTGGGCATGCTTTCATGCAGTGTATATATATATATATATATATATATATATATATATATATATATATATATATTTCAGATACTAGACAGACTCACTGTACTTTAAGGATAAACCAGAAGGCGATTTCTTTCTGGCAGCTGACCCTTGATAACATTTTCAAATTGGTCTTCCCTAACCAAGCAGTCAGTGAGTTCAGAAACAAGAGAAATCTAAAATACAAGGGGATTAAATATTCAGACCAACTTAAATGTTTGTCTACCTACTGTTATTTGGCCTTTATCTATTTCTAAATATTTTTAGACAGCAGTTTGTCAATTAGCCAGAATATTTCTCCTTGCCTTCACTGATCAGTTGCTCTGTTATCTGTCACTCATATATAATACTTATATCAGTCTGTTTCCACCTTTTTATATCTAACTTTATATTGATTCTTCTCTCTCTCTCTCTCTCTCTCTCTCTCTCTCTCTCTCAATGTACAGAGGGTGGTAGGGTATAATAATATACACATTCATCATTGGGGGGCGGGAAACACCATCTTCTACCAAGTGTCCTAAGAAATAAACCTTCCTTTCAAAAACAGAAATAATGATCTGAAATTGGAATAAAAGCAAAGATGGTATGTACCCTGAATCCATCATAAAGATCCCAGATATGGATTTAGTAAATACTAAACACTACAGATACCTTGGTGTATTCATCAGTTATAACAAATTTAATATAGAAGATAAGGAAATATAACATAGAATAGGTTGCATTAGAGGAAGCTTTATCCAACACTGAAAGTTTTCTACAAAAGCAGAAGATTAACCTAAAGATTTGAGTGATGTTCTTAAATAGCCTTGTCAGATCGAGGCTTTTATATGGATGCCACGCATGATCCTAAACTCATTCAGAAATATATAAACTACCAGTTGTATACAACTGCTTCCTAAGTTCTATGGTTAAAATGGCTTCAAGTAAGTGAGGCATGTATGTCTTAGTGAGGTCATCCTTCTTTGAACCTTGTTGACTGGCATTACAGAATCACAAAGGAACTGTACCAGATAACAGAACCAGCATCACTTGAGGACTATCAACAGCAGCAACAACTAAAATGGATAGCACATGTAACTCCAACAAAAATATTTAACAAAGATGTTGACATTGATTAGATAATTTCACATCATCAGAAAAAGAATTGTATTTCCTTTGAACAAAATCTACATTAGCAAGAGAAAATTAATTGTTAAAGACATTAGAATGTTAACTCATTTTTTATCCATTTTGGCAATAATCACCCTTCTTTGAACTTTCAGGACTTGTGCTACAGAATTGCAAACAATGAACTTTATGAAGTAACAGAAGGCACATCACTTGAGGACTACCAACAGCGGCAACAATTAAAATGGATTGCAGATGTAACTGGAAGAGAAAATAATAGGATAATTAAGATTTTGATTTTCCACACTACCTCAAATAAAAGCTTAGGAGTGAAACTGCCATGAATAATAAAAAGAGTGATAATAATTACTAAATTTGTGAAACATATTTTCCTGAAAAATTGTTTTAAGAGAAAGATTTTATACCTTTTAACTTAAAGCAGCATTCACTGCTTGGTCAATGAATGCTTAATGTTTCCTTATCAGTAAATATCTAATATTACCATTGGTACCTATGTATGTATGTATTACTTTTAATGATACATAATTTCTGTGGATATAAGACTTACTTGATGTTAGCTTTTTACTCGTAAATCTTTATTTTCTGGCATCATTAACCTTTAGAAATCTGCATAATTAAGATTACTTCCCTTTCTACTGCATTCTTTTTCAAGGTCTCTCAATTGCAGTAATCATATTGTTAATTTCCTTCAAAGTTGTTTTCTGATACCATAGAAGAATATGACAACAATGAAATTTAAACACCATTGTTCATGGATCAGAGTCCCCTTCAGTGGCAAGATAAACTGTTTGTACAGCAAATGTAGTCACATCTAGAGTGATAAATGTTAATAATAACTTTTAATAGTATTTTCTTAAAACTGTTATGTCCAGTTTGTAAACAGGTAAGACAATTTGAGAATTGTTTTGGCAATTTTTTTGAAGTCTTATGTCATTGAACAAAGCTGACCATCCATTTCCCGGTGGCCTTATATGAAATTCACACATGACTATTGCAATTTTGGGAATTAACATTTGTTTAGATTTCTCTGTCATAGATAAAATCAGTTGATCTATGCATCAATTCATTAATAATTCATTGATATTTATCTATTTATGCCAGTTTTGACATACTTATCTTTTCATTTAGTTTCTTTCTCTCACTATCTATCTATTTATCTATCTATCTATTACAGTCTGTCTATGTATTTATCTATTTCAGTCTCTTCATATCTATCTATACCTTTTTATATCTATCTATCTATCTATCTATCTATCTATCTATCTATCTATCTATCTATCTATCTATCTATCTATTATCCGTCTATCCATAGCTATCTATATATCTATTTATCTATGCCTGTTTATATCTATCTATCTATCTATCTATCTATCTATCTCAGACTGTTTAGAATTATCTATTTATGTATGTAACTATCTATCTAAATATTTTCATATATATCTATCTCACTATCTATTATATTTTACTGATGTCTCTTCACATGTCTAAAATATTAAAAAGTTTGTTTCTATATTATTAGTTAGCATTTGAATCAAGTTGAAACCTGGGATCTGATTTTCAAGTTATATGGAACACTACTCAGAAAACAGGCACTACATAATTTTCATAATTCCTAATTCATATAGATCCCCCATCGATGATTGAAAAACAAATCAAATTTATTGACAACTGAATCCTATCACAAAACAGAAAGGTTCCTATTTGGATTATTGCTTAGTTATAATTCTAGGCTTAAGGAATTTTCCACCAGAAATGTGGCCCAATGACAAATGTAATGTTTACTCTTAGTAGAAAAGGTCATGACTAAAAGATCACCAGGGCAGACATTTTCTTCCAGTGTCAGTGAGTATAAAGTTTTTGACTACCATCCACATCCAACGCAAACAAAATGGTGATTGGATTAATTAAATTTGTCCAGGATATAAAACAAGCAGTTAAGATTAACTAAAATACATACAAAAGTAAATGCTTATATATTCAAATATAAATTATCAATATTTATCTATACAAAACCAATTAAATGCTTATAGACTCAAATATAAATGACCAATATATACATACGCTCAAACCATGTAAACTTTTATAGATTAAAATTTAAACAGCCAATTGACCTATCCCCGAACAAACTAAATGTGTATAGATTCAAATATAAATAGATAATATTTAACTATCACTGAAGCAAGTAAATGCAAATGGACTCATATATAATGGAACTATATTTACCTATATCCAAATCAAGCAAATGTTTATGAACACATATAATTACTGATATTTACTAATCAATGAGCCAAGTAAATGCTTACTGTCTCAAATATAAATGACAAATATTTATCTATCCATGAAGTAAGTAAATGCTGTCTCAGACATAAATAACCAATATTTAACTATTCATGAAGTAAGTAAATGCTTTACTGTGTCAAATATAAATGACCAATATTACCTATCCCCAAACCATGTAAATATTAATGGATTTAGATACAAACAGCCAATATACACCTATCCCTGAACAAACTAAATGCTTAGAGACTCATATATAAAAAACGAATATTTATCTATCACTGAACCAAGTAAATGTTTATCAAACTTATATATAAATGAAAAATATTAACATGAAATATGAAAAAAGTAAATTCTTACTGTCTCAAATATAAATGACCAATATTTATATATCCCTGAACAAAGTATATGTTTACTGTTTCAGATATAAATTACAAATATTTATCTATCCCTGATCCAAATAAATTCTTAATGTCTCAAATGTAAATGACCAATATTTTTCTATCCATGAGCAGAGTATATTATTTTATATCTCTATCTATAAAAGGCAGGATGTGTGTGTGTGTGTAACAAATGCATGGCAGCAATTTTCAACGGATTTGCACCAAAATTTACATGCACATGCTACAAGTTAGCGGGAAGGCCAAGACCGACTTTGCATTTCCCAACTCCCATCGATAGTGGAAATAATCGATTTTTTCATGCTTCTACCACAGTTTTCATGTAGTTTGCGGCCATTTTCTACTGGCCAGAGTGAGAGCCAATAGCTGGCTGCCAAGAATAGGCAGGAAGATTCTATTGGCCAGCGTGAGAGCCAACAGCTGACTGACATGAATGTTAACTAGCATGCTAGCATACAAAAAAAAACGATAGCTGCATTCGTCACAAGTGGGAAAAATTTAAATCTCCATGGCACTTTACTTCAATTGGCTCATTCACTTGCTTAAACTCAACATTGATTCTGATTCTGCAGAACTGGGTTGGGTGTGAAAAAGTATTTGTCATTAACATTCTTTTTGCATTCGGTTTTTCCAGTTACGAGTCCTTTTTTAAAGCTGATCATTTTGTGTTTATTTTGTTTAGTTCTTTTTTCGTAACAGATTTAATGTTTAGTATAGAGCTTGGAAAAAATTTGCAGTGTGAGATAGGCAAGAAGTAAGGCATATAGCAACATCAGCATGGCAAAGGGCACTCCTTTAAGGCAAGGAAGGGCAAAAATATTTCAAGTCAAGTGATAGCGATTGCTGTATGAGTCGTACAATTTTTGAATCAAACACAGGCAACGCTGGGCCATGCTGCTAGTCTCAAATAAAACTGAGCAATATTTATCTATCCATGAGCCAAGTAAATACTTAATGTCTCAAATATAAATGACCAATATTTATCTATCCCTGAAACTATTAAATTCTTAATATCTCAAATAAAAATGACTAATATTCATCCATCCCTAATGCAAGTAAGTACTTATTGTCTCATATGTAAATGATCGATAGTTATCTATCCCTAAACCAAGCAAATTCTTATTATCTCAAATATAAATGATGAATATTTATCACTCCCTGAAACAAGTAAATGCTGTCTCCAATATAACTGACCAATATTTATCTATCCATGAACCAAGTAAATACTATAAATGGACCAATATTTATCTATCTCAGACCCAAGGAAATTGTTAATATCTGAAATATAAATGCCATTATTTACCTACCCCCAAACCATGTAAATATTTATAGATTTAGATACAAACAGTCAATACTGCAGTTATGAACAAACTAAAAGCTTAGCGACTCATATATAAATGACCGATATTTATCTCTTCCTGAAACAAGTAAATGTTTATCAAACCTATATATAAATGAACAATATTAACCTATCCATGAACCAAGTAAACTCTTGCTATCTCAAATATAAATGAACAATATTTATCTATCCCTGAACCAAGTAAATGTTTATTGTCACATATATATTAATAACCAATATTTATCTATCCCTGAACCAAATAAATAATTACTGACTTAAATATAAATGACCAATATTTATCTCTCCATGAACCAAGTAAATGCTTACTGTCTCAGATATAAATAACCAATATTCATCTCTTCTCAAACCAAATAATTTCAGGGACATTGATGAAAGTATCAAGAAATGAAAGATTCATTTTAGTCTCTGGTAGCTTACAGAAGGTAGCGAAGGAGAGCAAGAAGAAGGGACTAAGCATAAACCATAAGAAGACAGAATGCATGGTCATCAGCAAAAAGATGAGCCTGAAATGCAATTTACAGGAGATTCAAATCAAGCAGGTGTGGAAATTTAAATATCTTGGAAGTGTTCTGAGATATGACGGTAAGTGCAACACTGAGATCCCAAAACATATTGGGATGGCCAAAGACACATTCCAAAAGCTAGGCAAAGTGTTACAAGACAGGTAGGTTTCGTTGGTAATAAAGAAAAGAGTTCTGAATTGTTATAAAATATCTGTCCTCCTTTATGGCAGTGAATGTTGGACAATCTCCTCAAAGCTGAAGAAGGCACTTGAGACAACAGTGGTATGGTTCTACAGAAGGATGCTAAGGATAATATGGACCGAACATATGAGCAACAATGAGGATTTTGACAGGATGCAAACAAAGAGGAAACCCATACTTAACATCAGAAAGAGGCAGCTGAAATTTCTGGGACATGTAATGAGAAAGGAGTTCTTGGAAACTCTGATACTCACAGGGTGGATAGAGAGTAAAAAGGGACAAGGGAAAGCAACATGTCATATACTTAACAGGCTTAAGCAAGTATATGATAGAACAGGGACTGAGAGAAATAACAAAAACAAAACTGAGTTGTGATTCATAGATATTTTCAATATATTATTTTAATGTGGCCAAGTGGTTATCATATTAGCATCTGGACCATGAGACCTGAATTCAAATCCCACCATGGTCAATTATTTATTGAGGTGACTTCTAGATAATATTGGCCTTAGAGGATGATCTCAGCCTGCACCACTATTAGGAAATATATCAAAACCATACCATAGATTGACCCATGACTTATCTGTGAAACTGAGTAGACAGAACTGTTCTAAAACCTTTGTTATGCTAGCACAAAGTCATCATGATTGAGTGTTTGCCCATACTAGTCTTATTCTAACTGTTAATCCTACTAGATTATGTACTTTCTCCCAGAAACTGTAATTAAGGTCTGCAATATAATAGTTGCAACATAAACCACAGGTGGGTTCTGTGAATATTGAAAAGACACAAATGTGCCTGAGCAGGCACCTGCAATAGTTATTAGCTATCTACGAAGGCATACTTCGATGCAAATGACCATCCATATTATTTCAGCATCTAAATTTCATAAAGCACTCTTTTTCTTTTTAATTTTTAAAAGAATCTCTTTTATCATATACCTATTAGATAACTGATATGTTTTTACTGATATTTCCTTAGTCTGAGATGATCTCATGTTAATATTCAAAGATAGCATTGAGTGAAAATATGGAAACTGGAGTAGTCAATGTATACTGCATTATAAAAATCCCATTTGCAATAATATTAAAAATTCCAGTTGCAAATATTAAAGCATTAATGCTATATATCTAACCTCCCTTAAAACTTGTGGATTGACACTACTGAATCACAAAGAACTGTACCAGACAGCAGGACCCACATAATTTGCAAACTTTCAACAACAACATAAACTAAAATGAATAGCACATAGAATGAATAGAAGAGAAAATAATGGCATAATTAAGATGTTGACATTCCACACTACTTCAAATAAAAGGGTAGTAAGGAAGCCTCCATCAATACTGCGCAGAGTGATAAATGCTAATAAACTTGAGAAACTTATTTTCCTGAAAAATTTTGTGAGAGGAAGATTTTATAAATTTCAACTGGAAACAGTACTGGCTGCTCGGTCAATGAATACTAAATGCTTCCTTGTAGGGAAACAACTAATATTATGATTACCATTCTTTAAGGTTTATGTATCCTACATTGTTTTAGTCTTTAATTTAGTAAGAAATGATGGTAGACTGAAAGGGTACAGTATTATAATCAAAGTGGATACAAAGATCATGTCACTTTGAATATGTCTTCATCTGAGTTTACATTTAATGTATATTTTAG